AAAGATCAGAGTTGTGTAATAGTTGTGTAATTATAAAGCTTAGGTTCCACATATGCAGAGAATATAAGCATTGTATGGTATGCACGTAAAAATTGAAGCCAATGTGATAGATATTATGCAAGCACATAGCAATTGACTGGCATGTATGTAAAACAAAGCTTAGGTATTAGGCATATAAGTACATATGATTGACATACAAGTTGATTTCAAGACTTGGGTGTTGGATATGTAAATACATATGAATTGCGCAGTATGTATGTAATTCTTCCTATCCAAACAATCGATTCAGGCAAGCAAACTCATTTAATCAACATAAGGATCTTCACAATTCGATAAGAGAAAGACTCTGCAATGGTAAAAAAAATTTAATCGACACCAGTCTTTTAATCATGCTTAGTTGTTTATCACATTATACATTACTCTCAACTTATTATACAATTCAGCTAACTACCATTCAACTTTTAAATAACCACAACACTTTACACTAGAATATAGGACAGATTAAAATCAATTGTTGTGAGACAGTGCTATAAAATAATGCAGATTAAATAGCTTTGAAATGATTCCTGAAGAGCTGATGAAAGAACACAGCATGCCAATGTAGAGTATAAAAAAAAGGTTAAGAAATATAGCATGCCACTCAGTTCCTATGCATTCTATCAGTAAAGAAAAAGACAAGAAGCCCATCACCTTGTGTTTGCAGAAGATCAAAAACTGGAAGAAAGTGGTGTAGAACTAGCGCAATGCCACAAGTTGCTCTCCTCTGCTTCATCTGTTGCGCTTAAAAGGGCGTACGTGACTGCGACTCGAGAATGCTCGTCTCCTCCTTCCGTGTTCGAAAGGAAGAAGGGGGAGTACGGCTCGGTGAGGATGTTAGGCGTGAGGATTCGGTCGTGAGAGGGAGAGGTAAGCTAGCGAATGCTTCAATCGAGAAATGAGAGCCAAGTGAAGACCTCTGCGCCGAGGTGAAGAGACGAAGTCGAGCGAGTCGAAGAAGGTGACAGAGAAAGGAGGCGAAAGCCTCGGTGCAGAGAAGAAAGCAGGTGAGCGGAGTTTCTTCTGCACGAAGAGGAGGGAGGCGGGAACGGGCGATTTCGGTGTGGGAGAAGGAACGGTGAGCCAGATTTGTCGTGAGCGAGAGAGAGGCGAGCGAAGCTTCGGTACATGGAGTATGTGAACTTAGGTGCAGGGAATAGGCGAGCGACTTTGATGCGGGAAAGATGAAGTTGGCGGATGAGTTCGATGCAGAAGAGAGGGGTTCGGTGAGGGGAAGAGGAGACCAGGCAGGCGAGTCTCGAGCGAGGGTCTTCGGTCGAGTAAGAGGAGGAAGGCGAGCTCGAGAAGACGGGGAGACGAGGCTTCGGTGCGTGAGGCAGAGAGGAGGAGAAGGCGAACGGGAGAAGGGATCGAGCAGAGAGCGGGGTCTGTGGCTTCTTCGATGCAGGGAAGAGGCGAGCAGGCGAGAGCGTCGAGCGGGAAGTAGAGTTTTGGTCGCAAGGAGGAGATGATGAATGCTAGGAGAATTTCAGTGGAGTCGAGAGAGAGAGGGATCGAGCCAGGGATGGTGTCCGATTAATGGAAGAAGAGGAACCGGCTTAATTGTATAGCCATAGATTCAAGAGCCGTTACACGAAGGCTTTGGAGGGGAATTAAATTGTTTCCATATGCAGGGAGGTTTAATTGGAAAAGAATTAATCTTTATTATATCATATTATGGTGTAATTAATGATATATTTGAAATTTGAAGTTTGAAATCTGTGGACTGAAGTAATTAGCTCAGGCTTAGCCCATGTCCAGCCCAAGTCAAACTCGAGTTGAACCTAGGTTGAGCCCGGGCCCGCTAAAAAAAATACATCGATTTCTATGTCATTCATGCGCGCTTGAAACCATAGCGAGTATTCAAGTTATGATGGGTTCACCTATAGCCGTCTGATCTTATGGGAACTCATTTTGGGGCCCTCTACATGTTAGTCCTTAGCCTTTGCAACTAAGAGTCGAGTGCTTGGGACTACTCATGCGAGGTTTGCACAAAAACGAGTCAAGATATGACTCGAAGTTCTATGGGAGGTGGGCTCCATTACTAGTTCGCTAGGATGATCAACAAGGGACTCCTAAGGCTAGATTTTGGGTTCGAGAGTATGAAACTAAGACTTCACTAAAAATGAGGTCAACACATACAAACTCAAACTGCCATAAATATGGCCTGATTTTGTGATGCTTGGTAAGATCAAGTAAAGAACGAAATGTACATTACAAAAATTGAATGAATCAAAAGTCCTTATCAAGTCACAGTAATCTGACTAGAAATGTAGTTTGAAGTATTATGTAAAGTATAAATTAAATTTTGGTTACATAAACTGTGAGTACATAGTTTAAAATCAATGTTTGAAATGTAAAATAGAAACAATATGCATCAGATCTCACTCTTCATAAGAAAACTTGCCTTTCGGTTGCTAGTGACAGCTAGCTGTTGCTCATTGATGGAATTGCAGCAAATTGCCTACAGAAGTTGGTGCACATTGATGGTTAAATGTGAAAAAGATACAATAGAACTTTTAAAAGAAATGTTTTATGGAATTATGATGAATATCTAAGGGACAGATAAGAGTACAAGAGAGACATAGCGTTATGATTATATAGAATGAAAATCATAGATAAACATAAAGAGGTGGAAGTAACCTCTAGAAGCTCCCCACTTCTCTTTACAATTTCTGATGGATTCTCAAAATTAGCTTTCTCTAGCATTATATTTGAATCTCCTCTTCTTGTCTCAATAAAAGAATCAGCATCAAAAATTTTTTTAGCAAAGAGTGATCCGATTACATTGATGGCACTATTGCTAGGACTGCCTTTAGATTGACAATGCGAAGTATTCACATGATCAGATAGCTTAACTATTTTAAAATCTTTCCAGCATGTAGGAAGTTTCTCGCCACTATAGGCAAAACCACAAACATTTCCATTCGACAAATTCCAATAAATTTTCTTTGCATTAACAGAAATTTCCCACAAGTTTTTAAAAAGGGCCTCCCTATCCCCACCAGTGTACAGTTGCCTGAAGCAAACTCCCTGATCAATATGTGGCAGGGAGCTGGATTCGTGCTGACTAGATTCCTCCAACCATGCAAAAGTTGCAACCAGTAAGCCCTTGGATGCTTTTTCCCTGAGAAAAGATGCAAGCTGTTTTGTTAATAAAGAGGAAACATATGCTATAGATGCCATTGTTAATTTAGCAATAATTATAGGGAAAGGATTATGATCTGTCATAGACTTTTCAGCATCACATCCATCTTTAGCAAGAAATTTTCTCAACTGTTGATTAGTAAAGTTGGTATTTTGTATCCACAAAGAAGTCCCTATTAATTGCCACTTTTCATCTTCTGGGATTGAAAAGGCTAAAGGTTCACTGAGTTTAACATGGTTTTCTTGGTTGATGAAATCAAGTATTTCTGCAACATCATTTGATGCATCACTAGTGTTACCATCTAAGGTATGATGCAGGAGCTTCATCAGTTCACCTGTCATAACTTCAATAGAGTCATGATCACCAATATAAGCTCTACGTATTTGGCACACCAATTGAATCAACTCGCTTAAATTTCTGCTAAACCAATTGAGAGAAAAGTACATCAAGTACTCCACAAGTTCAAGAAATGCATAGGTTCTCAATGTAAGTCCTTCTATAAGGAGTAAATGATCATAATATTTCACTAGCCGTTTGATAATCCTCAATGAGCATATTAAACTCTGCAAACAGAAATTCCTCTGAAAACAAGTCTCACTATAAATTTCAACAGTGGAGGCTTTGCCAGAAAGCAGCTTCAATGTGGAATCAGATAAATGGCAACATACGACATATCGAGAATATGCATAAAAGAGCTCCTTGTTTGCCTTCACAAACACATCAAACAAAACGGGGCAAAGAGTAGAATGGCCAGTTTTATGCTGATTATCAATTTCATGCTCCCAAAAAATAACTTCCTGCAATAATTGGTACCCAAGAAATAACAATCCATTGTTGCATGCAAAGAGCAACACCTAGGAAGAAATAACCGGAAATCCATCTATTGTCAGAAGTTAAAAAGAATAAAACAAAGAAATATGAGAAGAGAACAGAAATTTCACTCTAAGAGGAGTTTCAAGTACCATGTTAGCTAAATCTATCAACTTAAGTGAGTACCTCCGCTCCAATACCAAAATAACCTCCCGGAATTCCCCTATCTGTTGTTTTTCTTGATCATTCTCAGAATCATCATGCTTTAGCAACTCAGTAAATACTGATGGATTCCTGTATGCCCAACCTGGCAGCTCCCGCAATAAATTTGAAATGTATAGCATTGCGAGACTTAATCTAAAATTAGACGCTAAATGGTATGCAACACCTTCTTGTAACCATGCTTGAGTAGTAGAAGCGGTAGAAAATGGGTTTAGAAGTCCTTGAAACACAGTTTCAATGTCTTGGGTGTTTCCTTCAGAATTTCCCTCCATTGTATGAGAACCAAAGCACTCCAAAGCCTCCAGCTAGATAGGCAAATGAGAGGTTTTCAGATTTATATAGTTTAAGAGAATGTTGTAAATAAAGTTTTAAATTCAAGAAAAGCATTGCTTTTTAAGCACACAAAAAAGGATCATTTGACAAATAAACAGATGGTACATAAATAACCACTTGAGCATCAGTTTGGTTGAGCCGTAGACAGATTGAACAAAAATCATAAAAGCATTAAAACGTTTGGCCAGTAAAATTGAACGAAAACATCAGAAATGAAATAGTGATTGACAGTAAGAAAAGGACAATGAGATATGAACAACAAGTTGTAAGTTATTACGGGAAACCTGAGGATTAGAAATCTAAAAATGAAGGCCATTGTTTCTCTACATCTACTAATGAACCTCAAAACCAACACCATCCCCATTAAATTAAGGTGAAATTGATATGCTGTAAAAGATCTTAGCAAACTCTAACAAAATTCAAACCAAACATGAAATACACACTAGATCAAAAGTACAAAAAAATATGATTCTGAATTCATTTAATTAAAGATTTCAGAATTTTCAATCTTAGATAATGAACTGAAGTGTGTCGGCAGCTTAAAAGTTTTGTGGGGTGGTGGTTGCCCGTAAGAAGCTGTCGGTCGCTGGAAGTGAAATCCCGTCGCCCGCTTCGGAAGGACGTTTTAATTTTTATATATATATATATATATATATATATATATATATATGATTTATAAAAATATGAAAACAAACAC